GCGCGGCTATGACGTCGAGCCGAGTCATTCGCTGCGCGGAGGCCATTATGGTGTCCGCGCGGGCGGTGATCATCGCGAGCCACGCCCACGGTTGCCCGACGCCCTCGAGGCACCGCTCGTAAAGGTGTTTTCTTTACCTGTCCGAGGACCCTTTTCGTTCGTCGTACGCGCACTACGCTGCCACTACTCCTGACAGACTCCGTCGGGGGTATACCTCGGCAAGAAAGCCGGAGACCACGCTCGACGAGCATCGCTTGTATGCATAGAGCGCAGAATTTCAACCGCTTCGAGACTCCTCCGTTCCCTATCGACCGCGAATTCGAGGAGAATCGAGGGTTGAGGGCGACGCTGACATCTGGGACGCGAGTGGATTTCGTCGGTTCGAACTGGATGTCTGTAGTCTTCGGCCCGTTGCTTCTTATTGGGATATCTTTCTTTGATGGGGTTGCTTCTTTTGTTCTAATGTTTACCTTCGTTGCATTTTATTCGATGTTGGCAGACTTTCTTCTGCGAGACGCTCTTGATCGTCTTCCGTAAGAAAGAGAGGGGATGCACCTCGTTTATTTTGGTGTGGAGTACTGTATGTTTCAGTGTTGGGCGGCAGTGACGTACAGTATTCAACGTGTATTTACGTGTGGTCCAAACGGAAAAGCAAGAAGATACATCGCAATGAAAGACGTCCGAACGTCATCGTGACAGTTTGGTCTGCAACGTCCTTGGCTCCGCCCATTAACTCACCGCGAAAGGAGTGGACCGCTGGCAGATGGAGGTGGAGCGGTTCGGAAGACACGTTTTTCCGTCCTCGTGTACACGCAACTTTCTTGATAATTGCTTGCATACTCTTCGAGGATTTAAGCGCGATAATTTTTTATTAAGGCTACATATACAATGAAGTTCGGTCAAATACACTTAACTGTTCTTTTTCCTGTTTCCTTCGACATTCTCAGCACATAATCATATTAGTAGATCATATTTAAATTTATAAAGCGTAAAAGGACATAAATTTCCTTTGCAAATTACCGCTGCATTACAGACAGTAGAAACTTTGTTGAAGGAAAATCTTGCTCCAGGGAACAAATTGTGTAACCAATCGAATCTTTTCTTATCTTTCCGCTGATCGTATCTGCTTAAATGCAACATGGTAGACAGGTGAAGGCACAGGAAGGGGATCAGATTTTGTTCACGGATAATCCAAAGCGTGGTCGGTTCGCCCACGAGCAGTCTTCCACCGGTACAATTAATTTAATGCAAATAATTGTCCTTTCCCTGCAATTTCGTGCCACGATCGAGCAACTTCTGTCCTTACGATTGAAACCACGTTCTTAGCTCGCAATAACCACCGTGTAATCCCCTGGAGGGACGAATTTCGTAATCCTTCCGTCCATACAAAGGAGCTTCTACGTTATTAACATTAGTACTTTGCGTTTTTATCGCGGCAATTGTGAAGCGCACGTCGATATCGCGCCATCTTCAAATATTTAGTCAGCGTACTGGACATGATCGATGTTTGATCACGGCTCGGATGAGCGTTATTGGCCCCGGTTACGTGGTCAGATTAAAGCTGACAAAATCAGGACGACAGCAAACGTCTAATTAAGCCGAGAGTCTTCGAGCAACCAGGAAACTACACGTTCCTCGTGGTCGAGACCCTTATCTGATCGTTCCTAATCGTCTTCCCAGAATGGACTTTATTTCTCTTCTTTATTCACAGTTTCTCTCCCTTAGCAATTTGTTCATCATCGTGTGCCGGCCACATTGTGCGCCGAGTTTTAGCCAGAAATACGGTGGCTGACGAATTTGCTCGTGCGGCGTAATCGACAGGCGGTAATTTTAATTAACCGCGCAAAAAAATCAAAATCGAGAGTCGACACAGGCTCTGCCGTATTGTCGTCGCGACAGTAACACGGGGACATTTCTTCGACCGAATGATAATTACGCCTAATCAGCATCGTTGAGCACAATTACCGGCCTGACTGCGGGTATCGTCTGCAATGATACTAGTTGCCGGATAATACACCGTTCATTAACATTGCATCACGTTCCAGCAGTGCACACCTACTCGATGCTTCAATTACACGAATATTTATTCCCAATACGGTCGTACAGCTATGCGAGATTAATTACACGATGGGGGACAAATGGAAACTGTAGGAAAGTCATTTTCACTTACTGATTATCGGACATATTACCTGCAAAGTAATCAGGTTTAGATAATGTGTACACTTCTCATTTTGTCAATGATTCAAGCTTTATTCTGTGTCTGGTTAGTTTATATATTGTTTAGATAATGTATACCAGCAGTATAGAGTATACTAATTTATAGTTCAATTAATGTATTGTTATTTGGTGTTTACCTACTAATGAACTGTTGCTGCAATCACAGGGGTAGAATTTTTATTCCTGACCAAAGAAGACCCACATTACTGTCTTAATTATCATTGTACCCCATAAGTAATCCAGGAACGTAGCAACGATATATCTGGTAGTTCCAGAAACGGGTTAAAAAGGGCCGTTGATTAAGCGTCCAATTATCCGTCGATTCTTAGGGACCAGGGTGAGCTCTTTTTAAAGTA